TCTTGAACTGGTTCCTCTTTCTCTGCTTCTTTGACAGTCCCTTTATTGGCTTCATCCCGTTGAATTGTTTCGTAACCTTTAGGTCGTTTAGGACCGACGAAGATGCAATTTGCCATCAGTTCTTCGGTGACCCATTCATCATTCGGAATCGTTTCATACATGCACCATGTATCGCCACCTCGTTCTGGGTAGTCCACTCCGTCTGGATCTGGTGCAAAGGTCACCTTTTTCTTTTGCATCAGTCCCGGTGACCTTCTTCTCCGGGTTACTTGTAATTCTCTCATGTCTTTGACATCAAATGTGGGAATTTCTCTTTCAAATTTATCCCAGTATTTCTCGAATACTTTTTCGTTTCCCTCTTTTAGCGCGTTGTAGTACACTTCAAGTGATTCGTAGACAGGTGTACCAAGTCCTGCCGGGAAGATGATCGTTCTCCCTTCACCTTTATACATGTGGTTCACACGGAAGTCCCAAAAAAGGTCAACTCTCGCTTCTTCCCACATTTCTCCTTCTTCGGTCATCTCTTCTATCTCTCTTTCAAATCTCTTTTCGGTTGCTACCGGATCAAGGGGATCTTGGATTCCTTTCTCCACACGTTGCAACCAATGGTTTAACCATCTGCCTCTTCCAATTATAAAACTTTCCACGCATGACAACCACGTTCGATATCTATTCCAATGATACCGTTCGATGTGTGGTTTCCACATTTCGTTTGTCCGCATGATGCTTTTCGCTTTCTTTTGGGCATGACCTTTAAGGTCTGCTAATGCGGCATTACATCTTGGCCATTCGGAAGGGTCATCTTGAGAGGCATTTTCACAACATTCCGCGCATTCCCATTGTGGTTGCACTCTGCACGGATCCTCAAAGTAACCGTGGTGACAACTCCCGGCTCGTTCTTCTGGAGTTAATGTCCTTTGACTCGCTTCAGGTTTAACCTGTTCCTGTACTGTGGTATCTTCCTCACATTCGATTGGAGTCACGCTTTTATCCTCAGAGGATATTTCAATGACCTCTGGTTCTTTTTCTGTTCGGTGACCTTTCAATTGTTCGAGTGCCTTGTCGCGGATTTCGCCTGTAAACATCTGTTCCTCTTCAACTATTCGTTTCAAAACTCGTAACCTTTCACTCTTTTTATCCTTCCCCACTTTAGCCGTCTTTATTTCCAGTGCCTCTGGTACTGGGATAGGCTTTGCCCACTCCATATCTGGCACAAGAGATTGTTTCGCTGCAACTGCCGCTTCTTTCTGTGTGGCAATTATCTCTTCAATCGTTGGTGACCTTTCGGTAGCAGGTCGTGGTTCGAAAAAGGGTTCCTTTTGAGAATCACGTTCTGTTACTTCCTCTTTGGCTTCATCTGGTAGCCTTTCATTTTGGATAGCAGATCGTGGTTCGAAAAGGTTCGAATTACGCTCTCGTTCCAAGTTCTCAGTTGCTGGTGACCTTTCGTCTTCCTTTCCCAGTGCCTCTGGTACTGGGATGACTTTTCCGACTTTTCCATTTTCATTTTTCGTTTCCAGTGCCTCTGGTACTGGGATAATTTCTTCCTGCTGCACTTTTGTCATTCCCGGTGCCTCTGGTACTGGGATGACCTTTTCTCTTCCCTTCTGTGCCAGCAAGGTCCGATTTAATGTCTTTTCGATCTCCTGCTGGATTACTTGCAACTGCTCAAATGGTGACAGTTCTTTTCGCGTCATCTTTTTCTTTTCGTTTCCCGGTGCCTCTGGTACTGGGATTAGCGCTTTATTAACAGTTTGAGCCCTTTCCTGTTTTGCAAGTTCGGTGACCTTTCCGACTTGTACTTTGGCAACTGGTTTTGGGTCATCTTCTTTTTCTTCTTCACCTTCATTATCCAACAGTACAAATTTCTTTTCCAAGAAGTCGAATCCCAGTAACACTTGTACGTCGTCACACTTCGGTCGGACGTAGAAGGAATGTTCGCTTGTCTTCTTTCGTAAGGTCACTGGTGCTACACAGTAGTGCGTCACCAGGAATCCTGACGTTCCGCTAATTCCGTTAATCTTCACCAATCTATCTGGTGGCAATGGGAGCATATGAAGTCCATTCTTCTCGCAAAACGGTTTGCTGATCAGCGACGTCTCAGCGCCGGTGTCCAACATTGCGTTGACCTTTATGTCTCCCACTTTCACTTCATGTGTGTATGCTTCAATTCTCTTAGGCAATTTTCCGTTTTGAATCTTCAGTGTGTGAATCTTACATTTCACAGGGATAAGCGATACTGGTCCTGGATCCATATCGGGAAGCACTTGTCCTTTTGCTGGAGTGCTATGACCTTTCAGTATCTCGCTCAACTTATCAATCCTGTGTGGAACGTTAGTCCGAACATCGTAATATTTTCGCGGCTTTTCTTTATCTGTTCGCTTCTCTGTAGCCATTTTATCACCGGTGACCTTTTCCACCTTCTGCACTTGCTCATTTGCTTTTGTGCCATCCATGTGACCTTTAGTCACTTCATTTATCGTCTGATGGATCAATTCCTCTTTACGGTTTTCATTTCGCTTATCTCTCAGCTTCTGAATGACTTCGCTTGTTATTTGGTCAGCTCGCTTCAATTCGTCTTCTTCGCTATCTTTCATCTCATCTGGTGACCTTTCATATGTAACCATGTCATATCCTTTTTCGGTCATCCATTCGATCACCTTCGCGGAGATTTCATTGTTCGTTTTCGTCTGATCAATTTGTGAAGACATTCCGTCTGTTCGGGCTGGTGACTTGTCATTGGCATCCTTTTTCAGCGCCTCCGATAAGTCCCGTGACCTTTCAACTGTGTTACTCTGTTTCGTTTGCGCCATTTCATTTGACCGTCCTTTTTGTTCATTTTGCGCTAAGTCCTGTGACCTTTCGTTGCGCTTCATGACAAATCCGCCACCTGTCAGCTTTTGTATGGGGACTTTTTCTCCGTAATTCGGCGGTTTATCCTGTGGCGGGGCATTGCGTGAATGATTCCAGTCAGCTAATGTCTTCTTATATTCCTCTGGATTGAATACTGGGATGGGGTTCGGTGACCCTTGCGCTGGTTTCCCGGTAACCAACTCTTCTAGTCGCTTTCTTTCACATTGCGTTCGCAACTGTTGCATGTCCCAGTAGTCCTCTTGTGACATTTTCGCTTTCTGCTTTGCCTTCGGCGTTACGGGTATCCACATCCCGTGATTCCCATTCGGTCTGTAGGCCACTTTTTGCCAGATTTCCTTCCGTTGCAGCGTTATTGCATCTACAAGTGAGTCATCGGAGTTCTGTGCCATTTCATTATTCTTTTGCTGCGCTGTTCGCAGTGTCAAGTCTGTTTCTTGACCTTTTAACACGACGCTATCGCCGTGACCTTTGGCGTTCACACCTGCTCCGTGACCTTTCGCTTGAACTTTTCCAACAGAAGGTGACCTTTCATCTTTACTAATGACGGTGATATTCTGCTTAATCCATTCTTGCCTTATTCGCTTCTCTTCTTCGTCTTCTGAACAATTCCAAAACTTTGGCTTCGGCTCCCCGTTACAATCGCAACTTGGCTCATTCGCCTTATCGTTTTCTGCCAAAAATTTTCGGAATTTCGCGTGCTGCTCGTTTTCTTCTTGCGCAGTATCGTTCTGCGGTTTCTTCTGATTAAGCAGCGCCTGTTTAATCTTTGCGTTCCGTTGTGCGCGTCGTTGCGCTAACACTTCTTCGCTGCAATACGGTGACCTTTCATTTTGCTGCACTTTTTGCAGTGTCGCGCTACCGTCACGACAATTTCCACTCGCAGTACCATTCTGCGGTGACCTTTGGTCCCGTTGCGCGCTTCCACTCGCAGTACCATTCTGCGGTGACCTTTTATCCACTTGAACGTTTCCGCTCGCAGTACCATTCTGCGGTGACCTTTCGTTCCCTTGTACTGGTTTCCCGATAACCAGTCCGTTTTGCTGCTGTGACGGCATCCATATAGCCGTTCCATTTCCTTTTTGCGATGACGGCATCCGTATAGCCGTTTCTCTTTGCTGTGGCGGCATCCATCTAGCCGTTTCTTGTGGTTGCGGCATCCATATAGCCGGTCCATTTTGCTTTTTCGCTGACGGCATCCATATAGCCGTTGCAGTGGTCACGTTCACTGCAGTACCATTCTGCAGTGGTGACCTTTCCCTTTTATCCGGTGGTTTAGGGTCGGGTCGATCAGTAGGCTCACCGGTGCCTACTGATCTTGCCCGTTTCCCTGAACCGGCGCCCCTCCTTGTTGCGCGCCCTGCACATTTCCCTGCTGTTGATCATTCACCGGGCCGCCTCCGTTTGGCTGGCCACCACCCTGTTGGTAGTTTCCGCCTCCATTTCCACCGCCTCTGTAATTTCCGCGGCCATAGCCTCTGTTCCTTCCTCTGAAGCCGCCGCGGCCGAAGCCACCACGGCCGTAGCCGCCATTCTGGCCACCGCCATTTCCATTTCCGTAGTTTCCGTTGCCCTGCTGGTTCTGAAAGTTTGCTTTCGCCTGGTACCATTGCGTGATCAGGTCATATCCATTTGCGACCGCTTGGCGCCAACCACCGAGCCCGCGCAGTCGTTGCCACTCGTTGAAGGCAAACAGGTTTGGGTTCTGTTCCGGTGGTGTGTTGGCGAATTTGCATCCCTGGGTCTGGTGGTTGCCATACATACAGTATTGGCACATCTGAACGTTGTTCGCCACCCATCCGTCAATCATTTGGAACTTGAATTCTGTCCGTGACCCTTGATTCTGCTGGTAGTTCTGGTTTCCTCTATTTGGCTGAAAGTTGCCTTGACCTTGACCTTGATTCTGAAAGTTTCCTTGGCCTCCATTCCAGTTTCCATTCCCATATCCATTTCCGCCAAAGTTACCGTTACCCCTCCTTGTTGTGGTAACCCGACATTCATGGGGACCATATTCTGTGGTGCAGGTGGGGCCACATTCTGTGGAGCCACATTCTGGGCTACTGGTCTCACTTGAGCTGCTGCCTGTATCGCCGCCACCATCGCGTATGTTATCGGTTGCCCCGTCTGACTGTCGATAAAGGTCACCTTTTCGGTGACCTCTCTGACCGGAGTCTCCACGCGGTACTCAACCGGCTGCTGGGCTGGCGCAGCTGCCATTCTCTGTTGCGGCACGTTTTCAACTTGACCTTGGCGGATCGTCACGTAATCCTGGGTGCGTTGACCTTTTGGCGCCTTGTATTTCTCTTCACCAGTGGCCCAATGTCTGAAGAAATCTTTCACGTCTGTTGGCGTCTTGCACTTTTGCATGCGCAGGGCTTTGTAGAGTTCGTTATCCCCTCTACATCCTTCAATCAGGAAACCCACTGCTTGTTTCTCTGTGATAATCCGTTTTGCTTTGAATCGCATCATCGCCTGGTAATACTGGTCAAGTGATTCTTTTCCGAGTTCGAATTTTCTTGCGTAGGCCTCACGTAGGCCTAAGACTTCTTCATCCCGATCTCCGTATTCGTCTTTGAATTTGTCCATCCACTCTGTGATTGAGTATTCAATCCGGTCTTCTGCTGCAATGTCCTTTTCCCCTTCGAACCAAGTTTTGGCAGGACCTTTCACCGCGCTTGCTATCTCAATCATGATTTGGTCGTCCGTCAGCTGGTAAGTCCTTTGGGTTTCTTTCACCAATCGTGTCCACCCACTCACTGTGTCACGACTGCCGTCAAAGGTCATGAGGGGTGTTTTCCTGGCCATCGAGTTGAGTGCTTTTGTCAATTGTACCGCTGTGTTGGCTGCTCCCTGGTCCTCGTCTTCTTCGCTACTCTCATCATCATTGTGAGTTCGTTGCGCCTTCCCATAACGAGACTTCCTTGGACGTTCCTGCCGGCTGGGGGGTCTGTCTCGTCGTCCTTCGTCGATAAACACATTCGTTTCAATGTGCGGGGGAAATTGTGAAGGTTCACCTCGACTCATATGCGGGTAACTTTCCGAAGGTGGCTCTTTGTCGTCTTTGACCTTTTCGCCATCTCTTTCATTTTTAACACTCCCCTTACCGGTGCCGGTTCGTAGCGGCATCTCAAAGTGGAAGCTTTTGCCCGTGCCCGTTTCATGCGCCTTGCTGTAACTGGGCGGAGGGGACTCCACTGTTGCCGTTTTAACTCCGTATTGTAAGAGTTGTTCATCTTTATGCTTGTTAGACGTCTGAAGCGCCTTGTTCTCATCTTCCAATCGTTTAGTTCTCAGTTGAAGTTCTTCTCTTTCCCTCTTTAGATCAGAATTTTCCAGGTTGACCTTTCGTAAGTGTTCCTGCAGTTTAAAAGACTCCTGCTGGGTGACCTTTTCATTTTCCCGTTCCATTTTTTTGATGTGCTCGACCAGCTCACTCGTTTCATTTTCGAGTTGCTGATACTGCTCAGCGGCTGATCTCAGCTGATCCTTGATTGCGATCAACTCATCATCTTTTGCCAATGCTGTGGTGGTCATCTCGACGAGGTCAGTGTTCAGCTTTGCAATCTCCTGACTCTTTTGAGCGACCTGTTGTTGCCACTCTTTGTCCTTCAACTCCAATGTTGTGACCATCGTGTCCAGTCGCCGTGCTTCCTTCTGCCATTTGAGTCCTTCCTTAGTGATCTTTTCAATGTCTTCTATGACCTTTTCATTCTCCTGGTTGACCTTTTTGATTTCTTCTTTCAGGCGTTCTCCTTCAGTAGCTGTGATGTCTCTTGCCTCTCGCATCGCTTTGATTGCATCATTGCGCAACTTCTCAGCTTCGTCCGCCCGTTCCTGATGACCTTTCGATTCTAGTTGTAGAGTACTGACTGTTTCCTCCCGTAGCTTCAGATCATTCCTTAGTTTGAACGTCTCCGTTGCCAATGTCGTTAACCGTTGTGTGACCTCTGCGAATTTGGTCGCGTATTCGTCCCGTTTAGTTTCAGCTTCAGTGACCTTTTGACGCAACTGGTCGCACTCGTCCTTCAATTCCGCCAAGTGCCGTGACCTTTCTGCTGATTCCTCTGACATGCTTTCATTAAGGTCACTGACAGCGAGATGACCTTCCATTTCTCTGTCATCTGCCATCTTTAGGTACTCTTCTGCAATTTCCTTTTGTCGCTCATATTTGACTTTCCGTCTGCGGAGCTCTAGGTCACCCTGTTGCTGTTCCAATTCGAATAAGCGAGTTTCGAGTGTCGATAATCTGTCTCGATATTCCTGTTTCGCTTGTCCGCCTGACGTTCTGGCTCAAGTTCATTTTCCAACCGTCTCCTCGTGGACCCTGTTGCTGTTCCAATTCGATAAGCGAGTTTCGAGTGTCGATAATCTGTCTCGATATTCCTGTTTCCGCTTGTGCGGCACATCAAGTTCATTTCCAGCTTTACGCGTCTCTAGAGTTGACGTGGGACTGTTTGGTGATGGTCGTACCCTTTCCATTCTGTGTCCGGTCAATTAAATGTTCGGGATATCCTTAAACGGGGTCATTCTTCAGCTCGGTCAGCCTCTTTCATTGCAGTTTGAAAGGACATATTCATCGTTGCGTCATCATCTGTGAAGTATGACTCGTTGGATTCATCTGAGACCATTGGAGTTGCAAAAGGTCATCGTCCGCGGTCTTATCGTTCAGTGAAAGGTCATCCAATCCCAGTTCAGCTAGTTCCTCTCCGGTGACCTTTGTCTTTTCCATTTCGATTGAGTCAGGTTTACATTTTTATCCTGCTCGTCCGTTCCGCTAATGGTAGCATCCACTGTGATGCCCCATTGCTTCCACTCCTATTTCTGTGGACTTTCCTCCCCGGTGACCTTTATCTGGTTCATCGGATGACTTCCCTTCCCGCAGATGCGGGAGTATCCTTTCCGTCGCTGGAGCTCTCCTCATTCTGTGAGCTCAGCGCCACTGGTATGTGCTATCACTGCCTTTGCTGTCTTTTCTTGCAAAGGTCACAGCCGCTCGGGTCTGTCTATCATGTCCGACTGGACGCGAGAGCGACTTGTATTCCTTCTTATATGGATCAACTGCGCTTTGTTGTGATCCTCGGGAGCTCCTGCTTCCCTGACTGCTGGTAGATGTCGGTTCCTCTTGTTCTTTGTCCATGTTGATCGGATAACTTGGACGCTCCTGCAATTGTTCTCACACACGTTATTGTATGGTTTATTCAATTTCCTAAAGGTCACTTTGTACCTCCGAAATTTTCTAAGTCCTTATTAAAGGTCACTTTTCGACTGAAAAATTTCGACTAAGTCCGTTTAAAGGTCTTTTTCGGTAAAAGTTCGAGAGATTTGCCCTAAAAGGTCACTTTCGGACAAAACTTCGAAACCGTTTTTACAGTTTGAAACACGTTAGCAAATGAAATCCTACAGCTGCTGATATCGCTGTATCACTATTCACTTCAATTTCGCTTTGATAAAGGTCACCTTTCGTCAGTTTCGGATCACAAGGTCCTTAAATAAGTCTTAGGACAATTCAACTTTTTAGTAAGGTCACTTTTCAGGTCAAAAGTCCTGTTCTGGTCTCAAGGTCACTTCCTGACTCAATTCAACTCAAAAGGTCACTTTCCAGCTCAGTTTCAAGTTAAAGGTCAATTTCCAGCTCAATTATATCAAAGTCACTTTCTAGCTCGACTTTGGTCAAAGGTCACTTTTCCTTTGTCTGAACTCAAAAGGTCACTTTTCGTCTCAATTATCTTATCTCAAATCAAATCTCCCATTACAGCTAGAGTTCAGCGGAAAATCCCCATTCGGGTTGTTTACTTCATTCTGATTGGTCCGCTAGCTCAAAATATTCAGTTCAAATTTCGGCCAATCACAGCTCAGATAACTGACCAATCACGTTAATCCGTTAAAAATTTTTATCTGCCTGACGTCACGGTCAACGGCCAGACATGCGCGCCGCGTGCAAAACTCCGCCTACTTTTACACTCAGCTCAGTACGGACCAATAAAAATTGCCAATTTTACCAACTAGCCAATCTCGTAATTATTAACGGTTTTCTACCTGTTAACCGTCCGTCCGTTCCGCGTTCCACGGGGAAATGATCCAAATGATCCAGATTCTTCTTCCACTATCCGTTCCCGCGCTGCCGCCGGTTTTACCGTAACGGTGGTGCCGCACGCTTTGGTAAGTTACTGTGCCGGCTGACTGCCGTAGCAACAGTAGTGGCGCTCTACTCCAGTTTGGAGGAGTCTGATCGGTCTTTTCCGTACGCCCCTTTTGGCGCTTCGCCGCTTGTGGCCCACGGCTTAGGATTCGCTGAATCCTTGCCGAGTAACAGTGACACCAGTGTAGGTCTTCGCTGAAGACTCTACACCGAGAACACCGGCGACTGAACTCTTGACTCTTGCACAGCTAAGGAAACAGTACGGTTCTTCGCTGAAGATCCCGTACCGAAAACCGAAGCTGGAAAATCCACGTCAGATGAGGCAGTTCACCGCTTGTGGTGTGCGCTTTGCTGTGAGTACAGACCTGTGCCTTACTGGTCGAGTTCCACATCAAATAACAGGCCAACTTTGCCTGACACAAATCAAATCAGAGAACCGCTGTCGGCTCTGCTACCATCTAATGGTAGATCCAGAATGGATCCACAGACGGAGACAGAAACGGAATCTATCCCGTGGAGTGAGCGACACGATCTGGGTCGCGAGCTATGCGGAAACACAAAACGTCGCACCGTAATCGCTGACTTTTAATAATATTGAAAATTCCGACAACAGAAAATCAACACTGATCGGCGCAGCTCGATCGTAAAGCGTGGAGCCCATTCAACAGCGTGCAACGCTGTGCAGCACGTGCTATGCCGCGCCCACTGACAAAACACAAGCCAATCAGAAGCGAGACACAACACAGGCCATAATCCAAAGGCGTAGCGCCACTGACGTGAACGCTAGTGATCCCGGTCTCACACTCACTTGCTATCGCTTCGGATACGGATACGGCAAGATTTTCTCTTCGCGTGCTCGTTTGATTTAACTGTGTTCAGTAGAAGCGGTAATACAAATCCCCGACTCAGTTTTGTCAGTTTGTGCGTTTATCAGTGTTGTAGATATCGATGATAATTGGATCTGTGTCGGACCGTTGTAAAACGTTTTAACTTTTACTGAGACATAATTCGGTTGGTTCCTGCATCTTTAGACGTATTTGGAAATAATTGCGGAAGATGGCATCGGGTGCGGACCGTGCGGGTATGTCAGTAAACTAAGCGCACGCTTAACCGCGCATGTGCATACAGTCCGGCATTCGAACCGTCAACGCTTCCGTGTTTACGAAGAAGTGATTCAGCCAGCCGCTGATTTTATTGCTATTTCCGCTTCGTTCGCTTACCATCTCTATATCCTACTAATTAGGTTCCTTGCTGTAGGTACCAGCGGGATGTCGTCGAACCCGACGATGGAACCGCGGCAACCAGGAACTGAGGTTCGGTTGGTTCTTGTGTTCAAGCACGCCCTGACGTAAGTGCTACCGCCCCAAGGGCGTGGAACAACTAAGGGGAATTTAACTGCGATGCCAGCCTCCTGTACTTGCTGCCGTCACCCGGCTGGAGTTTTACGTTGTGGCTAAACATGGCACTTATGTACCGCGCCTGATTTAACCATATCTATTGCCGTAACGTCACAATCCAGGCGGGCGACGGCAGCAAAATCTGGCCTCAGCAGTTAAATTCCCACTGCATAACACCGTGCGCTAGAAATCTGTTAGAGGTCGTCGGCTTATTCGACGATTGACCACCATCACCCATTACGGACGGGTTCGCGTCAGACAGGCTTTCCGTTCTCTCGTTCACTTACGCAACTGACCATACCCACAAAACGAATAGTTTTTAAACAATTTCTGGCGTTCGTTAACACTTATCTGCCGTTTTTTTATGTTTTCTTTAACCACTGACTGTATATTGCAGGCACGTGGCTGGACAGGGTAAATTTAGCCAAGAACTGCTGGACAAACTGCAAGCGGTAGGTGAACGTCTTTCTTCGTTGTAATAAATGCGCTTTGTTGTTGTGTCGTCGTTATTGGAAGAGACGAAGCAGACTGCAGACGTATCAATTTATCGACGGGAAAGGTCGCGTTTCAGATTCTGGCGACCCATAATTTTACCAATCAGTTCATCGTAATTTGTAATGCAGTCAGATTGTAGCGTTGTTGATTACAGGATGCTGTTTTCTGTTTCCAGGTGCAGAAGCGAAAAAGCCTCATGTTGGAGGTGGATCCGCGTGGTATCAACATCGCCGACGTCAAGGCGTTTGTTCATGAACTGCAGATGACGGATCTCGGTCCAGGTTCGTGCATGCGAATGTAGCCTGAACGTCGTCAGTTTAGCGCAATACCGCCTTTCTAAAGCTATAAGACTACTGCTGCCTGTTATTTTTATGGCGTGAATATCGTTAGTTTTGACTCCACTGGATGCTTTTTAGATGGCGGTGATATTGGAGAAGAAAATTATTTTGGACACGGTTTCATCTCTGAACTGATCCAATGGGGCGTTTTAAAAACGGTACGACGTATTTCCTCCCTTTTAGTTGTAGTATACTATTGCCGTCTATCGGCACTATGCATAGGATTTTTTTCAACCGTTATGGCCAAATACGAGTATAATCTGGTTTTTCTGTTTCTACCATAGAACCGTGTATAGTACTTTACTTTCGGTCATCACAGGTGGGCACCGCCTACAGCCTCGAATACACCCTTCTCCCGGCCGAAACATCGCTTCCCATTGCCGTCGACCAACAGAACGGCCTGATGAAGCAGGCAGATCCCGCGGGCGGTCGCCAGACTACTCCGCCACCGGCTCCCATCCTGCCTTCCAATCCCATCGTTTCCCTTCCGGAACCTTCACCACCTTCCCCGGAAATTCCCGTACCCGTCCGCGGCGTTGATGTGCCGAGTCCACAGGGTTCCAGTGCGGCCACGCCATCAGACGGCAGTATTGGCGCCCGCAGCTACGCGCAAACGACGTCGTCCACAGGCAGCCGGTGCGAAGAAGATCCTGGATTCAGGTAGCGCCCTTCCACTACCACCCGCCGGGATGGGAGGAGAACCGGGTCCGAAGCGGCGATTAGTGTGGGTGCCCCCGGCAGTACCACGAGTGGCGGCGCGCGGTGTCTCCGTCGGCCAGGTCGAATCCGGGAGGGAGTGTTGCTCCAGTGCATGTGTTCATGGATACGGGCAAATGGCCAAACGGTAAGGATGAGTGCCCGCGTTTGCCGTATTTCAGCACGTAGCATGTAGCGACTCCCTACTATCCATACTGAAGTCCTTTCTTAATTATTATTATTATCGCACCGTATTGGCCAACTCTTTTAGTGGAGATATCTTACCAGCTACTGGAAAACGTTTTTTAGTTAAATTTTATTCGCTAGAAAAATCAGAAAAATTTTTTAAGTGGGTTTGGAAATTGGAACGAACTGGAAATTTTTGACAACCATTTTGAAGTATGAAAAATTCGGTAAATTTTGCTAATAAAGGTAACTGTACGATATGTTACCATTTGTTCATTTGCATTCATTTTCTGTCTCGTTAGGCCCCATGGACAATATCCCAGTGCCCGTGGGTTTTCCGGTACTGCAACCGAAACCCATCAATCCGCAGCAGCCTAGTGTTCAGTTGGTTCCGGTGCCGACGACGGTGGCAACGAATGCCGGTCAGCGGTTCTGCATTACCACGCGGCAGTTGGCCCTCATGTCGCAGCTGGCTGTTGGCCATCGCAAGGTCACCATCACTTTCGAGGACGAGGCGCGGTAACGATGCAGACCGTGTGCGTGGAAAATCGTGCCTGATCAGGATTGTTCCCTATGCGAATCGTCAGATCTT